TGTGTCGTCGTCATTACTCGGCGGCCCTCACCGACATCCCTCGTCGCCGTCGAGCTGCAAGCGAGCTGCCCGCGTCGCCGCCCAGATAACGTCATACGCCGCTGAGCAGACATTCTGTCTAAAGCTAAGTCACGTTTTAATATTCTTCTAAATATTCTCCAATCTCCATATATTGTCATAATATTTCTTCAAACTGTTTTCTCCATGTTTGCTCTCCAAACGATTTTTCGAACCCCCGAACAGTCGCGTTGATGCTCGGACGCCTCCAGAGACGGCCCTGTCTCCGGCTCCTCCCTACACGTGCTACGGGCTCCGCGCTTTGCGTTATGGGTGGTCGGCAGTGGCTCCTTGGTCATGCATGTTCCTCCTACACGTGCACGGGCTCCGCGCTCGACGTTATGGACTATGGGCTAGCTAGGGCTGGAGACTCAGCTACACACTAACTGTTCGGGCGGTTTATATTAAACATAAATATATTTTCATGCCAACTGATCGCCGAACTGCATACGCCGTTTCATCACCATTGCTGATTTTTCTCCGAAGTTTATTTATTTGTGCATCATGTACTACCCGTTCTACATGTTTGTATTGCAGGATCATCGTCCAGGTGATCGGACCACCTGGTGCTCGGACTTCTCCACTGATCAACTGGTCGGACCGCTTGGTTCATAGACTCCATCGCCGACCAGTTGATCGAACTGTTCGTCGATCGTTTCTACTCAATGTTCACTTCGCCGCCGACCAGTTGACCAGACTATTCGCCGCTCATGCTTCATCGCCAGCTACGCCGGTTACTCCTCAACGCTCGGATTCTTCATGCTCGAGGACTAAGTGGGCACACTTCACCGCATGGACGTCGTCAGCTACGTCGGTGCTCGGACCTCGCCGCCTACGTCGGGGACTCCTCGGTGCTCGATCATCGTCAACGACGCCGGAGACTCCTCGCTCCTCGGTGCTCCGTCATCGCCAGCGACGCCGAGGACTCCTCGCTCCTCGGCGCTCGGTCATCACTAGCGACGCCAGGGACTCCTCGCTCCTCGGTGCTCGGTCATCGCCGCCTACGCCGGGGACTCCTTGCTCCTCGCTCCTCGGCGCTCGGTCATCGCCGCCTACGTCGGGGACTCCTCGCTCCTTGCTCCTCGGTGCTCGGTCATCGCCGTCTACGCCAGGGACTCCTCGCTCCTCGCTCCTCGGTGCTCGGTCATCGCCAGCGACGCCGGGGACTCCTCGCTCCTCGGTGCTCGGTCATCGCCGCCTACGCCGGGGACTCATCGGTGCTCGGTCATCGCTAGCGACGCCGGGGACTCCTCGCTCCTCGGTGCTCGGTCATCGCCGCCTACGCTGGGGACTCCTCGCTCCTCGCTCCTCGCTCCTCGGCGCTTGGTCATCGCCGCCTGCGTTGGGGACTCCTCGCTCCTTGCTCCTCGATGCTCGGTCATCGCCGTCTACGCCGGGGACTCCTCGCTCCTCGCTCCTTGGTGCTCGGACATCACCAGCGACGCCGAGGACTCCTCGCTCCTCGGTGCTCGATCATCGCCAGTGACGCTGAGGACTCCTCGCTCCTTGGTGCTCGGTCATCGCCAGCGACGCCGGGGACTCCTCGGTGCTCGGACATCGCCGGCGACGCCGTGGACTCCTCGCTCCTCGGTGTTTCGGACATCGCCCGGCGACGTTGGGATTCCTCGCCTCGGTGCTTTCGGTCATCGCCACGACGCAGGGAACTCCTCGCTCCTCGGTGCTCGGACATCGCCGGCGACGCGGGGACTCCTCGCTCCCTCGGTGCTCGGTCATCGCCGGCGACCTTGGGACTCCTCGCTCCTCGGTGCTTGGACATCGCCAGCGACGCCGGGGACTCCTCGCTCCTCGGTGCTCGGTCATCGCCAGCGACGCCGGGGACTCCTCGCTCCTCGGTGCTCGGTCATCGCCAGCGACGCCGGGAACTCCTCGCTCCTCGGTGCTCGGACATCACCAGCGACGCCGAGGACTCCTCTCTCCTCGGTGCTCGATCATCGCCAGCAACGCTGAGGACTCCTCGCTCCTCGGTGCTCGGTCATCGCCAACGACGCCGGGGACTCCTCGCTCCTCGGTGCTCGGACATCGCCAGCGACGCCGAGGACTCCTCGCTCCTCGATGCTCGGACATCGCCGGCGACGCCGGGGACTCCTCGCCCTCGGTGCTTTCGGTCATCGCCCGATGACGCCGGGAACTCCTCGCTCCTCGGTGCTCGGACATCGCCAGCGACGCCGGGGACTCCCTTGCTGCTTGGATCTTGCTATGTCTCGTCGGTGTGCTATCAAGCTGCTCCATGCTGTTCGAATCATGGTGCTGATCTTGGGCAAAGACGTCGGGGGTCTTGATACGCCGCATGTCGCAGCGTCGCAAGCTTTGAGACTTCTTTGACCTCGCTACAAGATTCATTCTTCATCTTCTAGCGTGCTCGGGGATTAAGTGGGCACACTTCACCTTGCGATGAATGTGCTTGTTCTCATCTCGAGGCTACGCATGGGGAACTAGTGCACTGCTTCGGTGGTCTTCTATTTTATGACCACGGCACCACGTGATCTGCGCCACCCTCTTGTCGAGCTCGGGGACTAACTGTGGGGGTATGGCCCCCAAGACATGGGGCGCACCATCGGAGGTGGCCCGGCCCATAAGATCAAGGCGTGCACCGCAAGACATTGTATAGTACCAAATAGGATACTTTACTTGTAACCCTGCCCCTCCAGAGTATATAAGGAGAGGTAGGGGTCCTCTACTCGACATCATGTATTCAATACAATACACCAAAGACACAGGACGTAGGGTATTACGTCGATCGACGGACAACCGAACCTGTCTAAATCGCTGTCTCTGCGCCTTGTGTCACCATCTGGTTCCTGATTACGCGCATCCCCACCGACAAATCTACCATCGTGGGATACCCCTCGGTGGACTGCCGAGCATCTTTTATCGACAATTGTGAAACGTGAAACACCGGGTGAATGGCAGAGGTAACTGGCAGCTCAAGCTTCTAAGCAACAGAACCAATGTGAGCGATCATCATCGGATAGGGACCATAGAACTTGAATGCAAGCTTCTGGTTAGCCCTCGGCGCCAAGGTAGACTAAACATAAGGTTGGAGCTTGACAAACACCAGATCACCCCTTGGAATTGGTGCTCGGATCGTTTCTTGTCGGTTTGATGCTTCATACGCTCCTTAGCACAACACAAATGCTGGTGGATAAGGTCAATCATTGCTCGGCACATCAACTGAGTCCAAAGCAGAGATGCCAAAATGACACGGAGGGTATCCATACAGAGCTTCAAAGGGTGAACGCGCAGTCGTTGCGCAAGAGGCAACCAGGCATAGCACTTCGTCAGACAAGTATTGGAGAAACAACGAAGGAAAGTTTCCATTGTTTGATTGAGCCGCTCTGTCTGACCATCGGATTGAGGATGGTAGCTAGAACACATTTGCAACTGGACATCTGCCAACACGAACAATTCCCTCCATAACTGACTCGTGAATATGCGATCACGATCTGAGACAATAGCAGTGGGCAACCCATGTAGGTGATAAACATTGTTGAGGAATACCTTAGCAACGTCGGCCGACGTAAACGGGTGAGACAGAGGAAGGAAGTGGTCGTATTTGGTGAAGGAATCGACGACCACCAATATAGAGTTGGCATGATTAGAGCGGGCCAAACCCTCCACGAAATCCATAGAGATCACTTGCCACGCTGAGGCGGGCACATGCAAGGGTTGAAGAAGACCCGGAAGACGGGCCCTATCCAGTTTAGTGCACTGGCAAATGAGACACGATTTGACAAAATCGCGAACTGCAGACTTCATCCCTCGCCAGGAAAAGATTTGCTTCAGTTGCATATAGGTGACCAGAAAACCCAAATGGCCACCGAGCATGCTGGAATGGGTGACTTTGATGATTTTCTTCTAGAGAACAAGATTGGCACCGATCCAAATGCGATGATAATTTGGAATAGATGGAGCAGATAATTTGGAATAAAAAAAAACTATGTATCTAAAAAACCCAAACGGCTTATAATTTGGAATAGATGGAGTAGATAATAATGAACATACAAGGAACGGCACTGTAAGGCCCTACTAGTTCATTTCAACAGAAGCATATGTGTGATACAAGAAAAAGTTTTAGCTGACATAGTAATAACATTGCAAATTCAGTAGGAATAGAGTAATGTTCTTAAATGAACTGGCGCCTTAGATACAACTAGAAAAAAGAACATCGACATTGGTAAGTCTAGATTGCATACTGATGGCAAAGACAGCAAACCATGTTTCAGGAATTATTATTTCGAAAACAACATCTGACAAATGATCCAGATTGACAAATGCAGCTATCCCTAATGTCTAACTGCAAACTTGATGGATTTTGGAGTGGACACAGTTGCATCGTGGCACACTTTTACTACTGAAAGAGCAGCCACGTTTGACAAACACAAACAAAGCTTCTGCTGTTAGGCACGTATCTCCAGAACATGCTGTAGATCCTTCTGCATTCCAGCCATGTCCCATTGAGCCTTGAAGTTACTATGGAGATCCAGCAGCCAGAGCTTTTTCAAGGAGCCCAGGGATTTGATACCTCGAGGGACTGTCTCCAATTTTGGCAGTGATGTGACATATAGACATTCTATGACTTGAAGTGCACCATTAGTCCATTACTAATTTTCAGAAGGCTGACATCATTCATGTTCTTCAAAACTAGTATCTTCAGGTGTGGGAAGGATCCTTCTGGAAGGTCCAAAGTAAGTGGACTAGGTATATTGTTAAGTCTCAGATACATGATGTTTGGTACAGTAGATGCTAGAACCACCAGCGGATCTCCTACAAAATGGCATCTGCTTAGGGCAAGATACTTGAGATATCTGCCATGGTTCTGAAGTATTGGACAATCCGTTAGAGACCAAGATCCTCTTACAATTAGCTTGTGGAGCTTCATGCAAGTCGGATTGAAATGATTCAAGAGAAGTGTCTCATTTTCATCAGCTGCAGATAGAAGCAAACTGGAAAGAAGTGGAGGTAGCAAAAAGCCCTGCACAGTGGGCAGAAGTGATGTTATCTATCCACAGGCTTCTTAGTTGCAAAAGCTTATCAAGTTGCTCCGGCAACTCCATGCTTGCTTGCACAGTCTCAAGAGTCTGTAAATCTTCAAGGTTCGAAAGCCCTTCCGGAGCTTCCACTCCGACGAAGTACCGAAACTCTGACTGGTTCTTATCAGCAAATTTGTCAGCAAGAAGGTGCCTTAGCTTAGTGAGCTTCACTATACCAGGTGGCAGTGCTTTTATACTATTTGATTTGACATCAAGAGTTTGGAGATTGCAGAGATTCTTAATGGAGTCTGGCAGAGATGTTATTCTTGTATTTCTTAGGCCAATGTATTTCAGATTAAACAGATTCCCTATAGATGTAGGCAGTTCCTGGAAATCAGAGTTCTGCAGCTCAAGGACAGTAAGGTACTTTGATTCAGATAGTATTGATGGTACATAGTCCACAATGGTATCACTTGCCATCAGGGTTCGGAGGTATGGAAATTTCATCTTGGATTTATTCTTTTTCATCTTCTTCCATCCATAAGAAGATATGCGACGAACATCTGTGCCCATCTGCACCATTGCACCAAAATCGTTTACTGTACCAAACATTTCCGCTTTAGAGATGCAAAGGGCCAACTCTCTTAAAATGTCATGCATTTTGCATGTACTCGCCCTGCCAAGCTCATCATTTTCCACAAGTTGCAGCATATTGCGGTGGATCAGCTTGGTAAGATAGCCCTCTGCTACCTCCTCAGGAGTGCTATCCCCTTTCTTTTCAACAAATCCTTCAGCAACCCACAGTCGCACAAGGTCATCCTTTGAGAAGTGGTAATCTTCCGGAAACAGGCTGCAGTATAGGAAGCAGTTTCGAAGGTCACTTGGCAAGTCATAGTAGCTAAGATTTAGAATTCCTCGAACCTGGTCATCTTTTTCCAGCTCACAAGCTCATTGCACATCTGCCTCCAAACTGGCACTATCTGCTTCCTTGAAGACAACCTACTGCCTACTGATACAATAGCCAGCAGCAAACCCCTACATTTCTTTACAATATCAATAGCAATCTCCTGAAGCTCTGATGGACACTTTACCAGAGGTAAATCCTCACACTGTTTTACAATAAGAGTAGCTAGATTCTGAAGCTCTAATGGGCATGCTGATAGTGATAAACCCTTAAATTTGTTTATAGTATAAGTAGCAAGATCCTGAAGCTCAGATGGACACTTTGCCACCGAGAAGTCCTCACATTTCCTAACAATATGATTAGCAAGCTCTATAAGCTCGAGTGGGCACTTCTCCAATGGAAGACCCTCAGACGTCTTCATCATATCATTAGCACACTCAAGAAGTTCTGATATCCAATCAAAGTGGGTTTTGCTGGGAAAAGCCTTTGTACAGAAGAGCTGGAGTGCATCCTTGATGTCTAATGGATTCAGGTTGAGCTGGTAACCTGGTGTGGCAAGAGCAGCTACATCCTGTTTCCTTGTTGTGATGACAATGCGACTTTCCTTCCCACAATCTTCAGACACATCGCTTATTCCATCATGAACTCAACGATCCCATACATCATCTAGGGCGTACCCAGTGCAGAGAGCTCCCGCTCTGTGCGGGGTCTGGGGAAGGGTGTCAGTGGCAAGCCTTACCCTCGCCTGTGCAATGTGAGGAGACCGCGACTCGAACCCGGGACCTTCCGGTCACAGGCGGTAAGACTCTACCGCTTGCACTAGGCCATACATCATCTAACACAACTATATATTTCTTATGTTTCAGGACTGCCTTTAAATTACTCTTCAAGTCTAAGATGCTCATTTTGTCGATATCATCTGGTTTCAGCTGTTTCTTGTGTCCTACATCAATGTCAACTGGTACAGTCACTTCCTTCTGATTGACACTGTTAACATGAGCTGTTGTTGTGTGCTCAGAGGCACTAACAATCTTTAGTAGCTCCTTCAGCAAAGCATCTACACTTCTGTATGTTTGTGAGACAGTGAGCCAAGCATGGATTTCGAAGATATCTTTCAGTTTATCATACACACTAAGTGAGCAGGGTGGTCTTTCCCATCCCACCCATACCCAACAAAGATACCACCTTGAGAGCTGGCATATTTTTCATGTTGACAGGTGCATTGGGAATCAACCATTCCTTTAATTGCTCTCTTTCTTCCTTTAACCCCACCAGGTTTTCATCCTTTACAAGTTGGGGCAAACTGTATTGAGGGAATTGCTGTTCAGGACTGCTAACTTGAGTAGGAAGATGCTCATGGACTGAGTTCAACCACAGATTCTTCAACTTCGAAACATGCTCAATTTCCTTCTCTATCTGAGCTAAATCATCAGCAATTCCACTAAACACTAGACCATAGCTTAACCCATTGGCCAACTTTTTCCCTTTAGGGTCTTGCTTGAATTGAAGAGAATGATATGAAAAATTGTCCATTATGTCCTCGACACAGTAGGCCAGTATTCTCACTTCTGTGATCCAAGCCTTGAGGAGCTCATCACTGAGACAGGATGCACCTGTCTTCCGTATAAAGATGTTCATCATCAAATGTTCCCTACGAATACGCCGCACAGTGTTTGGTAGCTCGATCAAATTAGAAAATTTGGTTGCAATGAAGGTAGCTGCTTCTCCTCCTAAATAGGACCCAATCTTCGAGAGAGCAAGGAGTGCTGCCTCTGCCATCTCTGCTGAATGGGAAAAAACATAAATTTGTTGCAGATTGCATAATAAGCTATTGTAAGTAATGGAATCAAATTAACTGGAAACGTCCATGGGATTGCTTCCAATGTAACATTGGCAATTAATATTCCTACAGTGGGAAGAGGCAACCATTTTTAGAAACAGTAACCTTATGCAGTTTGATTTAGAGAATTCATCATAACTACCATTGTTATTCGGTTGCGCTCCCAGTATATTTGGTTTGCAATATTTACATTCTGCACACTGTGCTATGCGTTAAATAAGTTTCAACACGTGACAGTGAAAAATTAGCTAGAAACCTCATCAAATATAATAACCCGTAGGTTCACTATGAAAGTGTGGCCCTCACAAAGCAGATTTTACTACTGTCAATGATAATCAGAGTCAGGAACAGCTCACCAAAGATAATGGCCGGATGGCGCCATGTATATCTCAAACAAAATTACAAGGTTTAGTCTTGGAGCAAAAAGGATGCTCCTCTCTTCAGAAATTACAAAGAACAACATCCTGTTATTATGGTTTCTTCCGAAAGCAAATGAAATGGATGTCACAGATACACGGGCTATGCAAGGAAATAGCTTTGTTCATTAATCAACCAGCACCAGCAGGGAATTGTCAGGACATTACGATTCTCATCACTTCCCGGCATCCCTTCCAATGAATATGTGGAATTTGGTCGTGGATCTAGTGGTGGGCAGAGCGGAGCAGCATCAGAGGATTAGGATTGCAATCCGTCAGGGGCGCTCGGCGGTGCGGCGATTGTTCGAGCAGGTTGCGTGTGCGCGTGTCCGGCGTCACACCCGACGGGTGGAAAGGAACACGGGGGAGTTGCGATTAAGCAGCCAAAGGAGGCGGCGAGGTCGCTCCGGCTGGCCGTGCCGGCGCGCGCCTCGAGCTCCAGGGATGATACGGCGGCGGGATGCTGGCGGGATCTTGAGCGGTGACATGGGAGAACGGATGGGGTGTTTCCTATCTGTTTCTTGTGCTTTTATTATTCTTTATTAACCCACGATTTATCATCAGAAAATAAACGGAATCACAAAACAAAACCCCACAATTCATTTCATCCCGCGCTAGTTAGTCAGCAGCAGCAACAGAGACGAGAGACCTTTACCTGATGATGTTCAGCGAGGAGAGAGCTCCTCCAATGGTGGCGTCTCTTCCGAGTTCCGAGTCCCACGCTTCAAGCTGTGTGCTGCGAACTACAGTAAAAGGCTGGAGGAAAGCTGCGGAGGCACCAAAACCAAAGGCACCAAATGCTGTCTATTCTTGCAAGAATCAACTATTGACTTAGACTTGGTGCCTGTTTAGTTTCTAAAATTTTGCAAAATTTTTCAAGATTCTCCATCACATCGAATCTTTGACCTATACATGAAGCATTAAATATAAATAAAAAATAAAACTAATTACACAGTTTAGACGAAATTCACGAGACGAATCTTTTAAGCCTAATTAGACTATGATTAGACACTAATTGCCAAATAACAACGAAAATGCTACAATACCATTTCGCCAAAAATTTCGCTAACTAAACAAGGCCTTGGTGCCGCGTCCTTAGGCCAGCACCACCCACGCAGCAAAAAATTAGCAGAAATTATATAGGATAGAAATCAATTAATTTTCATAAAAATGCAAAAAAAAAAACCGTAGTTCAAAAGATGCCCATAGAAATGTTAGCCTTATTAGAGAAAAAAAGTATTCTCCATATGTGCACAGAATAGAATCAAGACCACGCCATCTATTAGTCAACCGCTAACTCTATTATGACTTGTCACAACTTTGGCAACGCCCAAAAAAAAATTAAGTCATGTAACTACTTTCCCCTCTCTCCTACTTTTTTTAGCCTCACAAATAGATAGTCCCACCGTTTTATAACAAGTGTCATTTTCATTTCTTGAGAAATCAAATATTTACATCTTTGACCAAATACATATAAGAAAATATTATTATTTATAGTTTATAATTAGTATCGTCAAAAAAGATACCAAAAAATAATGTTATGATATGTTAGCAAAGAAAAACATATGAGCATGGAGACATGAATCGATGGAAAAGCATACCAGCTTAGCTCTTTGCTAAGAGCTAGCTAGTTGCTTTTTACTGTCTCTTTTTTTCTTACTAAATACAACTATGAGCTACTATTTGTATTATCGTTGACGACCCTTGCTCACATTCTTCACCTTACAAAAATTTTATAGTAGCTAACACATCCTTTAGCATTAACTTATTTGGATATACTCTTATTAATTCTTACTAATTACTAACTACTCCTAAGCCGGTATGCGAGGAGATGTGTACAACTACCAAAGCACTATAGAAATGCTCTCCTTAGGGTGTCCAGACGCTACCGTTGTCGTGGGCTGCGACAGCCCGAACGTCCCACTACGTCTTGCCCTCAACATTCCACTCCATAAGTTTGTAAAAAAACTACTCCAGAACGTTCGAAGCCTGGCTTCACTCGACTCACGCGACCTCCACTCATCATTGAGCCTGTGCTGCCATGGGTTCCGGCGTGGTCCACTCTGAACTCTCCCCCGCAGGTCACAGCCATGGCGGAGGACAACCCCGCTCCCCAAAGCCGTCGCCGCGGGCAGCCAGCCCACGACCCCTGAGGGATCCGTCGACGCCGCCCTGGCGGCTGCCACGAGCACCAAGGTCGTGGAGGTGCTGCTCCCGTCGCTCAGCATTTGGTGGCCCTGTGCAGACGCTCGCGGTGCTTAGCGTCCTCTCCCAGCGCTACGATGTCGTCCTGAAGCATGATGCCGAGCGCACCGCCGCGACCATCGAGGCTGAGGCCTTCGCCGCCGCCTCCAAGTCCGTCGCCGCCGAGTCCCCGGCCCGTCAAGGAGGGGGCTACCATAGTTCCCCACTAGGTAGGCCGTGGTCACCAGCGATGTCGTGTTTCAAGTGTTTCAGGTGTTCAGACATACGTTTTCAAGTGTTTTCATCTGGATGTTGCCTATGTTGCAATAGCTATATACGCATGTTGCAAGCGTATATTTCAGATGTTTTAGACTTATGTTGCAAATATTTTATCTAGATGTTTCAGTAGATTTTAGTGTTACACATGTTATAATGGCTATACACGCATATTTCAAGCGCATGTTTTAAGTGTTTCATCTATTTTTAGACGTATGTTGCAAATATTTCATTTAGATCTGGTGTTGCACATGTTGCTATGTCTATACATGCATGTTTCAAGTGTTTCATCTATTTTAGAGTTTCATTTGGATGTTTCAAAAGTAGGTCTCAGGGAAGCACATGCTGCTGCTAGTGCGCCACCGTGGGTCACCATGCCGCCATGGGTCACCGCGCGCCTGTTGGTGCTATTGCTGCTGCGTGCATGCGGGCGCGTGAAACGAAGCGGGCTCAAGGTGGTCCTCACGCATGTGTGGGCCCGCGTGGCCTCTGGAGCAGGATGGGTGCGGGGGCTAGGGAGCTGAGTATGTCAAGTGCGGGCGAGGGAGCACCGTCCGACGCTAGCGCCCCGGATCGAACATCCGGGCGCTAGCAAGTCCGAAAGCACTATCGATAGGTTAATGTTATCCGATTGCCCTAATAACACAAATTCGGGCCGCTAGATTTATGGCCTGTTTGGATAAGTTGGCATTAGTTATTAGGTGAGATTAAAAATACATTGAGTTAGTTGTTGTTGATTATTTACTTGGGTAATAACTAGTTAGAGGCTTAGAGCATCTCTAAGAGTACCCTATTTTTTCTTTCTAAAAACATGATGTTTTTCAACTCCTAAAAATTATTGGGAGGAATAAAGACGGTCATATCCAATAGTTTCTAATATTCCACTTCTAAAAAATTCAAAAGGTCGGTCCCAGGAATTGTGATGTTTTGCATCAGGAATCCTAAATTTGTTTCTATATCCATTTAAGCCCTCTCACTAGATCTTTCTCTCTTGCGATTTTCTCACCTGGAACCCTGTATTTCCTCCTTTTTCTTTTCCACATGGAGACCATGGCAGAAAATGGCGGCGCAAAAGGAGCGTGCAACGGGGAGGGCGGATACGCGCAACGGGCCGTCCGCGTATCTTTACGCGCATCGGCCCTTTTTTTGCCGAGTGCTAAAAGATTAGGTGGTCATTTTAGGAGTTGTTGGAGATGAATTTTTTTTCCATTCTTCCTTAAAAAACAAGGATTGAGAAGGATTATTAGGTACTCTTGGAGACGCTCTTAGATAAAAGATTAGGTCACTTATTAGCCTCTTTTTGGATAGGCTAGAGCTAAAAACTAGCTAGCTAACAGTTAACAGTTAGCACTATATATACAAACATAATTATAAATCATTTTGGTATCTAGAAAAGGTAGATCCATTTACAATTTAGAATGGACACAATACAAGGTATTGACAAACTGATTTCAACTTTTCAACACTGACACGCACAGTAAGAAATTAACTTATTAGCCTCTTCCTAGCACCTTTTCCGCTTCATCTTTCTTTCCCTAATGGAGGCTTTTACTTGCTACGTTTGTTTCATTTGTGATATTTTTGTTCTGAAAGAAGTGAAAAATAGGTAAATCATTGGATAAGAAATATTTGGTTTGCGTAATAAGTGTTCTCAAAGCTTATTTTCATTGGAATTCAACCAAAAGGGAACATTTTAAAGGCAAAATGAAGTTGAATATAGCATGCCGTAATAATAACAAAATGCTCCGAAATTAACTTCCGTTCCATTGAAGTGAAGTTAACTCAATTCGTAGTTTGTAAGCTTTTGCATTTCGTCAGTAGAATCCCTTAGGACTACGCGAAGTATAAGATGGAAGTTACATGGACATTGGGCCCATGTATCCCTGCAGTTCAGAAACTGCAAGGCAATTCATTCACCATTTCGCATGGCCACGCAGCAGGCTCATGTCCATACACAAGTATACAACATCAGGTACGGCAACGTGCTTCACCATGGAATTTTTCTCTCACCTCCGTACTCAGCGTTCCAATGAACAAAAAATTTGAACTCTGGAATAAAAAAAAATTCCTGACAGAAACGCGTGTGGCCATTGACTTGTCAGATTGACCCGCGTCGTACCCACCTCCACCATGGCCGCGACGCGTCCAAGAAGCGCGTTTCCTCCCCGCCAGTTAGGGCGCGTTTAGATAAGTTTTTTTTAGGTTTGGGCTACTGTAGCACTTTTGTTTGTATTTGGTAATTAGTGTCTAATTATGGACTAATTAGGTTCGAAAGTTTCGTCTCGCGATTTCTCACCCAACTGTGTAATTAATTTTTTTTTCATCTACATTTAGTACTCCATGCATGTATCGCAAGATTCGATGTGATAAGTATTGCGTAAAAATTTTTGGAAACTAAACAGGCCCTTAGCATATAGATACTCACGATTCATCCGTCTCTCCCAGTCGTTGCGCTGCTCCGCATCCTCCGGCTGTTCCCTTCCAGGTCAGTCTTCTTGTCCTCACTGTTCTTCACACGAATTTTGGAAGGCTTTGTGCTTGTTTTCGCTTGCCATCGCAGCGCACTGTTATCCTTAATTCATCGCATCTGTGATAGCATTTGTATGCTCCCGCACATTTGAAAGCTTGTTCCATTGGACCTGCATTCTGAGTTGAACAAAACTTAGTACTGAATCATTTGTCATATCTAATTCGAGGGGGAAAAAATAAACCCGAAAGCCCCTACAGAAACTGTGCTGACGCCTGATAGATGCATTATGAACACTGAAATGAAAGTTTCAGCATAATCTGGACCAGTCTGAATCTTTCGGGGATACAACCATTCTTGGTTGATGTGGACTGCACACAATGGACGAACAGGTTTAGTTATGAAAACAGATGGATACACATACACCCCAACTTTTTAAACTTTTCAAACGAGCAAAAATAATGCGAGTTTAGATTAATTCCGGTTGAGGGGTATGCCAGTGGAAGCTTAGGATGCAATAGTTCATATCTGAAACAAATACTATATACAACACTTCAACACATCGAAACACCAGGATATTTTCTAACTAATGTTTTTCTAATTTTTTAGCTTATTCTTTCTTGCATAAGTTGTTTAAGTACTGTGCCATATTTCCATGAATTAGATGTTCTAACCATCCATACCTTGTGCTGTGTCTTGCTGTCGCTCAGATCACAACCTTCTAAATCGTCAGAGATGACTACTAACAGCACGTCTAGTCTTCTAAGCACATTGCCCAAGGATATACCAGCAAGCTTCCTGAAGCAAATCACAAAAGATTTCTCTCCTGAGCTAGAACTTGGTAAAGGTGCATTTGGAACAGTCTACCAGGTATGATCATATATACGCCTTAAATTTGTTCCTGCCTTCTGAAGTTGACTGAACACATGTCAGAATGCCAATATACATAATATATGATACTTGACATAGGGAATTGCGGAGAATGGGGAAATGATTGCTGTGAAGAAACTTGGGGAAAATTGTCCTGTGGCGGACAAAACATTCAGTAATGAGGTCTGTAATCTTATGGCAACCCAACATGAAAATATTGTGAAGTTGGTGGGCTACTGTCATGAATCACAGAAGAAGGTGGTGCAGCACAATGGAAGATATATCATTGTAGATATAGCTGAAATTTTTCTCTGCTATGAATATCTACCTAAGGGAAGCCTTGACAATTATCTATTTGGTATGTACATGTACTACAATATTCGACAGCATTCGCCACTATTTAATTCCTTTATTGCATCCTATTGAGTTTTCAGTTGCTACCTTGAGATAAATGAGTAATTAAAATTCATATTATAAACCAAAAAATTCAAAAAGAGTTATTAGTGCAATAAGATTTTTGTTTCTGGTAAAGATTACTTACATATCTCTGTGTTCTACTTCTTCAGCCGAATCTAATAGAATCGACTGGGACACACGGTTTAGAATAGTTCAAGGAATCTGCAATGGTTTACATTTCCTACATAAGGAAATGGATCAGCCTGTCGTTCACATGGATCTTAAGCCTGAAAATATTTTGTTGGGTGATAATATGGTCCCCAAAATTGCTGATTTTGGACTTTCAAGACTCTTTGGTCAAGAGCAAACCCGAATGAACACTCAAAATGTTGTGGGATCATTGTAAGTAAAAAAAATGTGAAATGACTATTTTCCTTTATTACTAGATTCAATTTTTTTAAAAAAATCACAGTAAATAAGTTTTAATGAACTCTGTTCAGAGGATATATGGCTCCAGAATATCTATACAGAGGTGAAATCTTTACCCAGTCAGACATATATAGTTTGGGTCTACTAATCATTCAGATAAGCACCGGAGAAAAGAATACTCCTAACGCTGAAGACAAGTGTGGACGAAAATTTATTGAGAAAGTAAGATCATGTTATTTGGTATTTTCATGATTTCAATTTTTTCAAATAGACTAGATTAGATTTAGTTTGCATATATGATATAACAGGAGGAACATCGAAACCTGTAGGTACAAAAAAGTTGGACAGATGGCCACATACCATCCAAGTACACATCAATTGATCCAGATCGCCTCCAGCAAATTAAAATGTGTGTTGAAATTGGGTTACAATGTGTGGAACATGAACGCAAGATGAGACCTTCCATAGCGGATATTGTTGAAAAGCTCAATGCAATGCAGGAATGAGGTATGAACACTGGAACAGTGAATCCCTTTGGTCAGTTTCTTGCACAAATGCTACCCACTTTTGACAAACCTAAGGCCAAAATGGTTTGCAGTTATGCTCAGGCCCTGTTATTCTGAATAAAACTTGCTGATCAGTTTACTTACTTGTAATAATTGGAAACTTATGGGATGCTTTGGCCTAAGGACATTATAACTTTCAGGTCAAACTACACATGTTACAAAGAGACCATAGTTTGCATTATCAATTGTTTAAGTAATCTAAGTTCCATGTATATGTTTACAAAGGATTGGGGTTTTCCTTTCATTTGTTTAGTTAAAAAGTTACAATCAAGATATGTGCATCAGCTACTCCTATTTTCTTGCCTTCTATTCATAATTTGGACTATGTTTTCTGCTCCAAAAAGCCAGCACATACAACATCATATGGTTCATGCTACATTCTGCCAATGCTAACATATCCTTTGGAATTTTTAGGCCTCTCAGTCCCAGCGAGTTTCAAACATATTGGCCTCCAGAGGATGACAGATCGATATCCAAGATGGATAAAGCATGTTTATTATTCGTAGACAGCCCGAAATTCCTTTTGGAATAAGATCCTTTCTTTTATCATCTCAGATATGGAAACTATCACATTATATTCCTTCCATCAACACCAGAACTGCTGCTCCAAATATCTCTTCATTGTAATCATTATGCAAAGAAGTATTTAAATTAAGGGATGGTACCCAACAACTCCTTTAAAATCCCTATTGAATGAGCTACTCCTGAATTTGGAGGAATGTAAACAGACCTAATGGTTTTTTTCATATATGTGTGTGTTATCCATATGTTCAATGTGTTGCCTCGAAACATTACTATTCATACTTAGACGTGATCTATGCCTTATAGAGAACCAAGTGTATCTTGGGTAGTTAGCAGAGTCGATGGTTCATACTTGAGCTTATTCTTCTATAAACAGAAACGGATGCTTCAGACTCCAACTTACTATAGAGTCATACATACTTTCTAGTTCATTTTAGAGAATTAATTATAACTCTCCTTTATCTTTATCCATTACTAGGTTTGAACCCATTACGCTGCACACATCTGTTTATCTAGATTATAACATGCACATGCTATACCATGGATAAGTATATGGAAAAACTTAAGATTCTTAGTATGATGTCTACCAAGAACCTCTGTGCAATAAAATAGAAACACCCATTGTGATTTTGTGGCCATCTCAATTCATCAGGATCAAAATATAAAATGAGTCATGAGACATGGGTAGATGTTGCGGTGTATATTCAAAATAATTTAAATCAGAATTTAGCAAACAAGAGAACAATACACTTTTTTATGCCAAGATTTTTTCCCAAAAAACATATCCTACCAATGACGTTCATCTCAAACGAAAGAAAACAGAGGACCGAATATAATAACATTATAACAAGGAGGTAAGAAATGCCCACCATTGAACAATCAGATAACCAAACGATGAAATTAGCTTTGAAAGTTGCATCCTTGTGGCATGGCGATTGGTGAATCCCAATTCGCAATCAGTCATCAGACCTTGAGCAGGATACATCTGAGGACTACGAAGCCAAGATATGACAGAAAAGAAGATTAGAGGCTTAGAGCCATGTATTTTTATTCGGCACTGCAATGCAGCAATTCGTCAAGCAGGTCAGTGTGCTCAGGGACCGACCTCTGACGCGTGGCCTTAAGTGGTTGAGGACCGGCGGAGGCGGATCGAGCGGAGTATGAGTCCGTCCAATGCGTCGGAGAGTAGAGATGTAAAGAGACCGTGGTGCCGGCGAGGTCGCCTCGGCTGGTCCCTGCCGGCGTGCTCAGGAATGTGGGGCCGTCGGGCTGACGCAGTAGAAAAAATTCCATTTCAATAGAAAGACGACGAGGCTTTTACTTGTGCCATTAAAAAAAGTTTCAAATTACGCATAAGCCATTAAAAAAGTTAAGCTCCCACGAGTGCCATCGTTCTAAACTTCTTTGCACTCCAAGCCATTCCGTCCGCTTTTCTATTTAACGGTGTCAAACAGACAGGTGAAATAACCATTTTATCCTACAGTGGAGTCCGTTTGTCAGCCACCCAAACTTTCTCTTTCTCTCTCTTTCTCTTGCGCCTCCATTCTGCGCTCCCCGTGCTCATGCTCGTTGTCGCGGCGCCGGCGGGGGCCGACGACCTCGTGAGCTCCTGGCGTTCCGTGACGCCGTGGGCAGCGCCTGGCGTGGAACGCCTCGGACGCCGCGGGCGCGTGCTTGTGGACGGGGCTCTCTTGTGAGAACGGCCGCGTGGCGGTCCCCGCGGGGACGCTAGGGAACTTGACTGCCAGGCACCACAGGTAGCAAGCAAGAGGATCCAGTCCAGCCAGGCACCTGCGCCTGCACGTTGCTCCCAAATTACATCAGTTGCCGAGGACGGACATCTCGGCAAAGCCAGTAGGAACAGCAAGCAAGCAAGCGCAGAGATGCAAGCCGAGGCTGCGAGGTGCACGGCGGCGCTGGCCGGAGGCGGGCGGCGTGGTGCGGCAAGCCGTGGTTTGCCCGGCGGCGCTGCCACGCTTCAGTGACCCGCTCCACGCCGCCTCTCGGCGGTGGGGCTCCTCCACGCCGCCGCCTCCGCTCCCACTCCCACCCGCTGCGGTGCAATGCGCTCGAGCTCGCTTCAATGTCGCGCTCAATCGCCTCCCCACAGCCGGCCCCGCCGCCGCCGCGTCATGTTCCACCCCCCCCTCCACCATGGCGGGCACGGAAGCAAGACACGCCCGTCTTTGCCAACGCCGCGCGTCGTCGCCGCGTTCAAGCAGCGAGCAGCACCAACACGCCAGAGAAGGAGGGCGAGCACGGGGACAACCGCCGCGACCCGGTGCTCGCCGCCAAGGTCGACATCAAGCAGCTCATCATCTCCATCCTCGATGACCCCAAAGATCGGCCGTGTCATGCGCGCGAGGCTGGCTTCTCCAGCCTCTGTGTCAAGGCCAACGTCGAGAAGGCCATCTCGTCGTCGTCGTCACGGAGCATCAACCGAACACGACGATACCATCCGGCGACCACACGACGAGCTCTCTGCGCACTGTGTTCCGGTCACCCAAGCAAAGCGGCGCCCAAACAAGTCCGGCGACGACGCCATGCGCGTGCTTTCATCGCATGGCGAGCGGGACCAAGCGGTGTGTGGTGGTCATCGGCGAGAGCGCGGCCACCGCGGAGGTGGTGGTGAAGGCGGTGATGGATAGGGTGAGCAAAGGGGAGCTACAGCAACGGCATGAGCGGCTCAAGAACCTCGGCAGCATCCTTCCAGCGGATGCCGAGGGAGGAGCTCCCCCGGCCATGCATGAGCGTGAGAGCGAGCGAGCGAAAGCTCCACTCCAAGCATCGGCCGTGGCGAGGTCATGGTGGCAACATGAGGAAGGTGGAGCCGGGTCGCTGACAGTTTGGCCCCACTAGACAGAGAGAGAAAGAAGCAAGATGATAGAACAAGAGAAGGGTATTTTGGACGTTTACACTGATCGGACCCATATGTAAGGGCTGCCAAACGGTAAAAAACAAACAGAACACAGACGGAATGGCTTGGAGAGCAAAGAAGTTTAGAACAATGGCACTCGTGGGAGCTCAATTTTTTTAATGATTTATACGTAATTGTAAACTTTTTTAATGGCACACAAGTAAAAGCCTCAAAGATGTCGATCCAATCCCACCAGGAACAAAGGATTGTACGGAAAACCATTAACGAATCACCTACCTGGTGCTGCTGCTGCTGCAAAGAGCAGAGAACTACAATGGCTGCTCGCCTGCTCCTCCCCCGACCAAATACTCTGACCTGGTGCTCCGAAGCTCTGCACTGCGCGCGCGGTGCAGCGCAGCTTGGAAGAGCAACCTACTGCTCCCTCTGTCTGTGCAATAAAAAGACAATTCTCGCTCCTCGCTAGTCAAACAATTCTAGTTTAATTAAATTAATATATAAAAGATATTAATTTTATAAACTCAAATAAATAGTATTAGATTAATTAAACACTATATTTTTAGAACAAATCCATTTGAAAAAAATATTTATATTATTTTTCTTTAAATGGCTAAATTTAAATTTTTTTGTCTTATCCA